TGTCTTCTACCTTTTGGACCGGCCTTCCATATGGGACCTTGTCAAGGGCCAGACTGAAGGCCATGCAAACTATATCAGCTCCATTACCCTCATCAATATATTTAGACACCTTTTCAAAAAACGCAATTAAATTAGTCAGACAGGATTCCCTCCATCAAATCCATGCTGCTATCTCTGATCAGTTCTTGCCTTTCCAAGTCTTGATTAATCCTGTCACTCAGAATTTTTTCCAATAATTCCCCACCACCTACATCAAACTAACTGGATTGTAATTACCTCTCCTCTTCTTGAACAAAGAAATCATAATAGTTATCTTCCAATCATCTGGCACTTCGCCTGAGGCTAGTGAAATTTTAAATATCTCGCAAGGGGCCCTGCAATCTCTTTCTTTGCCTTTCATACCAGCCTGGAATACATCTCATCATGCCCTGGGGATTACTGCATCTGTATGGTCACTAAAACATCTAATGCCTCCTCCTTATTAATCTTAACATATTCTAGAACCTGACCACCCTATTTGAAATCTCCGGTAACAATGTCTTCATCTGTTGTGCGTACAGATGATAAATTTTGACTTTAAGACCTTGCCCATGTCCTCTGGCTCAATGTACACATTGACCTTTTAGTCTCTAATAGACCCCATTCTTTCCCTGGAAATCTTCTTACTCTTAATTTACTAGGTTAAACAGCCACCCATTCAACACCACTGTTGCTGCATTGTCTGTAGGTAAACTTCAGTAACTTGCCCATGTTCTTTCAGTAGCATTTTCCAAGTTCTCAACTTTCACCACCTGGAAGAACTTGAGCAGCATATTCACAAGAATACCTTTAAGTCTTTATCCAAGGCAGGTGTCTTCTTTTCTTTTACTCATATTGCAATTCTCTCATCATTGATTGGTCAGAATTCTGGAATTTCTTACCACCAAATTGCTTTGTGGGAGCTTATTAACTCTGAGGACTGCAGCATTTAAGAAGAACTGCATCTTTCAAGGCAACTAGGATGTTGCCTTCCCTTACAATCCAGTACCGTCCAGTTTTATTCCCCTTATCCTGCTCTTCATTTCTTCTGGGGTAGAATTCCGGTGTTAGGAGTCTGAGCCCAAGTGAGTTCTTTTTAATATGTGAGGTGTAAGGCAGAAACATATGGTTAATACATTGCACCAATATACACACATGATGATAGGTGTAGCTATCAAGAAAGTGAAACGTGGCTGATTTTATTCCTGTTCTGTACAGCATGGTGGTTAGTTTACCAGCTATTCACCATGGTGGGCATGACTGCACAGTCCTGGTCTGGCCTTATCCACTACGTATCATACACATGCTATCCATCTGGAGGCACAGGATCCTAATTAAGGGGATCCTAGACTGATGCTTTTAAACCTCCCTCAAACACAGGCATTGAGGCTAATATGGTCACACAACCCTCCATAGAAATTAGAAGGTAGAGGATGAAAAAGGCCAAATTTAATTTAATTGATTGATGTTCATCACTCACGAAACCCTGGACCTCAAATCAGGGTATCCTCATCTAATTTGAGTTTGTCTGTGACCTTCATTTATAGACTATTGTCAATTCTGTGGTTCCCACTTTCTTCTTGTGTGGTGGTGGCATTTCTGGGTTGTAAAGTACTGAAGGAATCACCATTCAAGTAGTTTGGAATGGAACTTATTCTATTAGATTTTGACCCATTTTTAATCAATTTCTTGTTCTGATTTAGATGTGCCTTTTTCGCAGCGTAGATTTTTAATTTGACAAAATGATGTGTTGTCACCATCTGTCATAATTACCTATCATTTCTTCTCATTTTTTAGCTTGCAGTCTGGTGAATGAATACCCGTTGTGCCAAAAATCAGCTGGCAAAACTGACACATTGTTGGACTCGTTTTGTCCACACTCAGCATATTGTTAGGCTTCCCCTCTTGCAGATTTACTGACTTCAGCTTTATCCTGACGTTGTGAGGAAGTTACAGCCTGACCTAAGCAAGACTGTGCAGCATGAGTTTCCTTATGGGAATCTCTATATGCAAGGTTGATGAAAGACGAGACTACAAACAAGCCAGGAGATTTTGAAAGCATTAATGAAAGCTCTCTTCTCTTAGTAATCTTCTCTTACCTCCCACCTCTCTCTACATGAATGTAAGGCCAGGAGATATTATAAGCATGGTCAGACCCTGTGCCTTCTGACTTTTTTTTTTTAACCTTTTTTTAACTCAAGAACCTGCAAGACAGATCAGCAAGGCTGCCAATGTGTGGGACTGCAGGAGTTGCGGGAGATACTAACAGAGTATTTTGCATCATTTTGTTTACTGTGGATAAGGATGTGGAAGCTAGAGAATTTGGGGAAATAAATAGCAACATCTTGTAAAATGTCCATATTATAGAGGAGGAGATGCTCCTAGCCTGTCCAAGTCCTTCTGCAGCCTCCCTGCTTCCTGAACACTACGTGTTCCTCCACCTAGTTTTGGGTAATCTGTCATTTTAGCAACAACGTCCTTTTGCCTTTGTCCAGATTGATAATGTATAATGTGAATACTTGTGGTCCCAACACTGACCTCTGCAGAACTCTACTCGTCACTGGCTGCCATCCTGTCTGTGCTGTGTCTTTGCAAGAGCAACCCAGTGAATCCCACTCTTCATTCTTCCCTGTAACCCTGAAAATTTTCTTTCTTTAGGTTTTGAAAGCCACAATTGAATCTGCTTCCACTTATTTCTCAAGTTCCTAACCTCCTGTGCTGCGTAAAAAGATTCTCCGTCATCTTGCTGTTAGTTTGTCTAATCTCCTTAAATTGCCTGCCATTTATTTCTCCACCTTGCTGTCACATTAGTCTCTGCGTTTTCAACCTAGTGCAGTGTTTCAATGAAGCTCAACATAAATGCAAAGAATAGGCATTTTATAATCTTCTGGGCTCGAGCTTGTAAACTCTGCCTCCGATTATTTCCTTTTTTTGGCATGTTTCGATTTTAGTCTCACTTGTCCCTTTCAAATGATAGCTGTTTGTCATCGTGCCATTTATGCCTGCTCTAGATGCATTTTGTTTATTTACTTTATCCCAGTTCCACTCCATGCACCACACACTCTTGTCAGCTCATCTCCTATATCTTTCACCTTATCGCAGATTTTTGCTTTTGTTCTTTTTCAACCCTTCCGCCTTTTGCTTGCTTAACACCTTTTATGGTTATAACTTTTCCCAATTCTGATGGCCATGACCTGAGCCATCAACTTTTTTTTTCCCATAGATCATACCTGACATGCTGATAAATTCCAAAATTTTCTGTTCTTGTAACCTAAAGTCAGTGTCATTTTATTTTTTGCTTTTCCAGTAGAAAAGGAATCTGTCTAAATAAATTGGAATTAAAGATTGACAGGTGAAACTGTAATGAAAAATAGGCTCCTTATAAAGAGGAGATGGTTCAGGTGCAGATAAGGTACATTCCCGCAAGAGGAAAAGGTTTGGGCCAGCAAGCCAGGCTTCCAGGATTATGAGAAAAACAGGAAGGAAGATAAAGAAAACAAAGGGAGTGTTTGATAGGTTGAATCACTGCACCAGATGCAATGGAGTTTCAGAAACTGGGAGTTGAGTTGTTACAGACATCAGGGTGTGAGGAAGTGTAGTCAATTGGGAGACAGTGGAATGGTACAGAGTATTCATTGATAGGCTATTCCCAGAGATAAAGACACAGTCATGGTAGGGCAGAGAGTCTGAGCTCGGTAATATAAAGTCAGAAGTCACACGATGCCAGGTTATAGTCCAACAGGTTTATTTGAAATCACACAAGCTTTCAGAGCGCAGCCCCTTCATCAGGTGCAAGAGAGAGCAGAGCACACAGACACAGAGTGAGAGATCAAGGGCAGAGAGATCAAAAGTTCCCCATACAACTGGTGTGAGTGGAGGATCAGATGATAAGTCCCTGCAGATGACCAGGAGTGTTAGACAGTGAGTAAAGGGTCAACAGCTGAATAACTAGCGAAGGGATGACCTATAATCTGATTAAGTGAGGCAGAGAGATAATTACAAAAAAATTAAAATAAGGTGGTGCTGGAGACAAATTAAATGACTGGATGTAACCTGGTAATAAGTGGGGCATAGAGTGATGACAATCAAAAGGAGTATAAAAGTAAAGAATAAGATCTTGTTGTTGGAAAATGTTTAGAATAAAATAGAATAGCCTTTATATAGTTTGAAAGGAATCAATGCTGACCTGATATCTAAGTGTGGAAACGGTGAGTTGAGAAGCTGTCTGCTGGAATCATTTCCATGGAAATAAGGAGCCAGAAGCAATGTCTAAAATATGACTTGGTTATACAAAAATATCGTTTTTAATATTAAACAAAGTAAATGTAACAGCTGGAATACATAGTGCCGGTCAACAACCTGTTTGTGTGCAGCTACTTCAGTTCGAAAACAGTTCTGGGGTTAGACTGACAGGGAGATTCAGTGGTCAAGAGAAAATCTTTGAAGTTCTGACTTTTTCTTATTCATTCATGGGATGTGGGTGTTGCTGACTGGGCCAGCACTTATTGCCGGTTGCTAGTTACCCTTAATACGGTGATGGTGAGTTGCCTTCGTGAAGTGCTGCAGTCCACTTGGTACACCCACAATGCTGTTAGGGAGGGAGTTCCAGGATTATGACTCAGCAACACTGAATGAACAGCAATATATTTTCATGTCAGAATGGTGAGTGCATGGAGAGCTGTTTGCAGGTCGTGGTGTTCCCTTGTATCTGTTGCCCTTGTCATTCTATATAGTAGTGGTTGCGGGTTTGGAGGATATTGTGTAAAAGTGTGGGGTTTGAGGGAGCACAAGGAACTACAGTTTGATCAAATCAGTTTAGAGTTTGGCGGCTTTCCTTAATTTATTTTTAAAAGAATACCTGAAGGGCTACAAAGGAGATTGAACATATATGGTTTTCTGTTGTTTGTAGGAGCTGTCTGTGAAAATAGTGCAAATTGAATATTACCTCAAATAATTCTCTGCCTGTTTGTGTTTCCTAACAGTTCACCAGTCTGCAAATCAACAGCTAAAATTGTGAATTTGGAAACCAAGGATGTTAAAGATGAGACAAAACTCACCAATGAATTACCCTTGGAGGAAGGTACCATTGTTATTGAGGACTCCGACAGGTTAGAATGTATATGTTATCTACACTTCAGTGATATGTGTTGGGTTTTGTGAGGTATTTTATTGTTTCTTTGTTACACATAAATCCTATCAATCACTTGTATCTGATCAAAGTCAATAAATGTGGAGTTGCAAAAGAACAGCTGGTCAGATGGCATCCGAAGAGCAGGAAAGTCAACATTTCGGGCCAAAACCCTGTGTCAGGACTGATGAAGAGTTTCTGCCCCAAACGTTCACTTTCCTGCTCCTCAGACACTGTCTGATTAGCTGTGCTTTTCCAGCTCCACATTTATTGACTCCAGCTTCCAGCATCTGCAGTCCTTACTGGCTCCGACTCATAATTGATCCTTGTGTCATTGGTGTTGATGTCAAAGTGTCTACAGACCATCAGAGATCAACCTCCAAAGTTGCTGGTACAGTTCCTGCTTACACTATTTCAAGCAGGAAGTTGTAGCAGTGCTAGGAGAAAATCTACCTGCAACAGTATAAAATGGATAAAATGTAATTCTGTCAACCCACCTGGATATTCTATTGCACATGGGACAAAGGGAGTAATTTTACCTATCATACTGGACAGATAACAGCCATTACAGATTGAAATTAGATCAGGTGTAAATTGGATGACACAGCTGAACCCAGGCTGTTAACATTGTACTTTGAATTGTCTAAGATTCCTCCCCAGGGATTTTAATACTTACGCAAAATGCAGAGTCAATTCTTCTGTGAGATTAATCTGGTCCACCATAGCAGGAACTAATCTTTGAAAGCAAAATAAGTTGTGATTCTCCAGTCAGGCAAAATCTGTCATGTTTTTGTCCAATGTAGTAAGTGCGAGGTGAAAATAATGATGTGTATCTACTGAATAAGCACAGCTTCCATGCACCGAGGGTAATATTGACTTTGTGATAGTTTAAAACAACGTACCACTAGCCCTCCGCAAAAACTAAAGAGAGGTCTTTAATGGATAGTCCAAAGTCACAGTATCCCTATAGAGAGTGACATAGATATGCTATATTCAGCAGCATTAGTTTTGGTGTCATATATAATGTGAATACAATGCAATGAAATGGAAACCTTTGCTTCTCTAGGCAGAGTGGTACAAATAGCTGACAATAACAAAAAAACTTGTATCAGTTGAAAGGTATTTGGCATCATTTGGGGAAAAATGTTGTGATGTTACAATTCAAGTCACTTTCTAAATACTTAACATGTTTGTTTGCTTTGGTCATTAAAACTGAGTTCAATACGTTTTCTTGGGTAGTATGTAAAATGTCTGCATTCAAAGGGAAGCAAATGATCCCTATAGTCTGAAATATGACCTTCCATGCAGAATAATCTCAGAAATCAGAAAAGCAATTTACCCTTTAAATATTCTTATGTATGAGTTATAATCACTTGATATATTTTACTGCTGGACAAGGAGCACTTTAATCCTAGCATTCCAAAATTACTAAATAATCAAGGGGCAAAAGGAGAGGAAATAAATACAATTACTATTACTAGAGAAAATCTGCTAGTGAAACTAATGGCACCAATGACTGATTTGAAATAACTCCACAAAGACTGGTATCACCAAGTCACCCTTTACTTACATGTGGCGAATCCTTGACGCTGATCCAGCTTCCTCAGAGCCAGTCTCAGAGTAAGCAGAATCTCTGACACTTCTGTTCTTATCTGTCAGCCAGGACTCCCTGATTGGCCCAGGTTAACAGCCCCAATTAAGGAACTCGTATTCAGTGAAATCCATCTGGCCTATCTCATTCCAACCACTACAAAGCCAAAGCAAACATAATGAACTTGATTTTATATGCCTCCAGTGCCTAAATCAGTAAAAAAATTATTTGAAAATTAATACTGTTTGTACTTGGGGGCTCCATTTGGAAGTGTACAAGATGAGTTGGATCATTTTCACTATTCTTTCTTTCTGAGTTTGGCAGGGAGGCACGTAAATAGGACTGATGCTAGCCCACCAACTTTCTACCATAAAATTTTCACTGGGTGTAAAAGTTTATGTCTTATTAATTCCATAGTCTCCTTGTAAAACGTAGAAACACCGAAGATAGGAGCAGGAGGAGACCATTCGGCTCTTCGAGCCTCCTCTGCCATTCTTCACGATCATGGCTGATTGTCCAACTCAATAGCCTAATCCTGCTTTCTCCCCATAACCTTTGATCCCATTCACCCCAAGTGCTATATCTAGTCGCAAGTGCTATATCTTGAATACATTCAATGATTTAGCATCAACTACTTCCAGTGGTAATGAATTCCACAGGCTCACCACTCTTTGGGTAAAGAAATGCCTCCTCATCTCCATCCTAAATGGTCTACCCCGAATCCTCATACTGTGACCCCTGGTTCTGGACACACCCACCATTGGGAACATCCTCCCTGCATCTACCCTGCCCAGTCCTGTTAGAATTTTATAAGTCTCTATGAGATCCCCCCTCACTTGTCTGAACTCCAGCGAAAACAATCCCAACCTAGTCAATCTCTCCTCATATGTCAGACCCGCCATCCCCGGAATCAGCCTGGTACACAATATTCTAGGCATGGTCTCGCCAAGACCATGTACAACTGCAACAGCACATCCCTGCTCCTGTACTCATCATTTTCACAATGAAGGCCAACATACCATTTGCCTTCTTTACTGCCTGCTGCACCTGCAAGCTTACCTTCAGCGATTGGTGCACAAGGATGCTCAGGTTCTGCTGTACACTCCCCTCTCCCAATTTACAGCCATTCAGGGCGTAATCTGCCTTCTTGTTTTTGCTTCCTTGCATTTATCCAAATTATACTGCATTTGCCATTGATTTACCCACTCACCCAACCTGTCCAGATCATATTGAAGGATCTCTGCATCCTCATCACTGTTCACCTCCCCACCCAGCTTGGTATCATCTGCAAACTTGGAGACATTACATTTTGTTCTCTCATCCAAATCATTAATATGTATTGTGAATAGCTGGGCTATGCACACATTTACTTTAGCACCATTGAGCCTTAATGCAGTCAATATTTAATTGCTAATTTTATGATGTTTCTAACCATATGATTATTATGTTTCCTACCCAGAAAGATGTCACTTTCCAATGTCAGTGAAAATGATGTAGAGAAAACTGATGCTGAGAATGAAACACGCGAAGGCCTGGGGTTCCCTAAAGAAATTTCATATAACAGCCCCACAGAAGGACATGAGGTATCCAGTATGGAAATTGCAAATCTCCAATGGTCTTGATTAACCTCGGTATACATTAATTCAGAGTACATTTGTTTAAACAAAACATTGTTATCAACAGTTGGAGATATTTTGTGTCACATTTAATTAGCTACTTTAATTATTTGGCACCCCACCATATTTAAGAAAAGAAACAGGTCCAAGAAGCAACTAACATATTTCAAAGTAACCGTAACTTTAACACTCTAGAACTACATTAGACTGCAGCAGAGTCCAGAAAGGATGCAACTCCCCTCTATTTTCTGCTGTCAGCTGTCTGGTTCAATCTTCAATTCTGGTAGGTTGATGGCAAAATATCCCGGCCTAGCTTTTTGTTATTGAGAGAAGTTTCTCAAATCTTGGAAGTAATAAATTGCTGCTTATTCTTATGAGGATATGTTTTTCAGTAGTATTTAAACATGCATTTAACTTGCAGTTTAGTGTTACGACACAGACAACCAAATCAAATCAGCCTCACCATCCCTGTATTTGCAACACAATAAAATTAAAATATTCAATGACCTTCAAAATTGCTCCAATGATTCCTAACCAGACTCTGTAAATAACTGACACCAGGTACCAAGGTTATAACTTAGAAAAGAGAATTAACAATTTATTATTAATACAGTCAGAGGTAACAAGAACTGCAGATGCTGGAGTCAGAGTCGATGCAGTGTGAAGTTGGAGGAACATAGCAGGTCAGGCAGCATCAGAGGAGTACGAAAGTCAATGTTTCGTGCCTAGACCCTTCATCAGCACTATTATTAATACAGTAGCTTTAAGCTGAATGAAGTTAAACAACAAGGTAATCTAATTAATGTCTATGATTTACAACACTCCTCTTTGATTCTAGACCCCATTCACACATAGAAAGACCAACAAACAGATATAGTTAAGGGATAAATTAAAAAAAAACATAAAACAGATACAGCTGGCCAGTTCACTGAAGCAGTTTCAACAATGCGTGGTATCATAGGCACATAGGATTGAATCTTACTTGATTTCTAACAACACCAATGCATAAAGCTTCCAGTAGGTCTCAAGCAATAGTCACTTAATTCTTATAGCTGAGATTCTATTCTCTGAATTTGCAATAAGTTGATAATGGGAGGATAACCAAGGAGCAATCAAACCTCCATGCTGTTACTTTGCCAGCCACTATCTTTCTGACAAAAAAAAACACAGGTCAAACTTTGGTCAGAGATAACACTGTGTGGAGCTGGAGGAGCACAGCAGGCCAGGCAGCATCAGAGGAGCAGGAAAGTTGACTTTTCGGGTCGGGACCCTTCTTCAGAAAATGCTGCCTGGCCTGCTGTACTCCTCCAGCTCCACATTGTATTAGTTCAAACTTTGGTTCCTCTTTCTGTATTTCTCAACATTCTCTTTGTTAGACTGTTTAGCACCAGCCTCAATCTGATAGCCCCTGTTAACATGCAAACAACTGCCTGTCGCTGAGGAGAATACATTTCCAGAGAGCTGAAAGGTGTGCAGTGTTCCTTGAACAAGAATCGACCTGCAGTTATCTTCCAGGCAAGGTCCTATAAACAAATATCAGTTATTTTGTTCTCCCTTCTTTTTAAAAAGAGATTGCAGGTCACAGTTTAAAGGTCACCTTCCACTCTCACAGTGTCAATCAAAAATGATAAAAAAAGGGAAAACAGTGAGAGTTCTAACATTTGCCAGGGGACTGGTTAGCATGGTTCAGAATAATGCCAACAGTGTGGATTTGATTCCCATTCTGACTGAAGTAGAGTATGGACCTGCATCCTCACTCTGCTTCTGAGAGTGGAAGGCATTAGCAAAACAATACTTCAAAAAAATTGCCGATAAAACTGCTGAGGTTGAAACAACAGCGGTCAATGAGCCAAGAACCTGTTATTGTGTACAGCACACATTGATGAATGAATGAATGAATGAATAATTAAATGTGTGAAATTTGCTGTTTGTGGTGCAAGCATTTGTGGCCCTTTCCTCTTCCTGAAGTTTATTTCAAGCACAGCCTGGAATATTTGTTGCCCAAACTATTCCTGAATTGGCTGACTTGGTACCAAGAAAAAGAAAAAAAAGTTCTTTATCTGTATCAGTTTCTGGGATGGGCAAATAATTTTTGTTTGCGCTCATCATCAAGGTGCCCACATGGGTTTCAATGTGACAAAACAGTAGCCTATAATGTTCTTATTAATGCTGAAATGTAAAGAAAATAATGCACCAGCTGATGGCACAGCAATTTGAGAGCAGGCTGGAGCTTAGTAAACTGAGCACATCGAGACGTGTTCAGCTTTGATGTAAAGTTAGGTCTTGCACATTCACTGCAGGACTTCCCTTTGCTGCCTGTTTCACTATTGCATTGCCTGGGAAATTATTTTATTTTAGTGAATGTTGTTTTGCTGAAAACTTTCATCTCTTTGTTAGCCTCCTTTGAGAATGAAGCAGAGTTGAAGTAGAGTGAATGTAACTTACATTCTCTTGTCATTTCAGTGGAACAAGGAAATGGGGCAAAAGTTCCATGGGGATGTGGTTTAGTCTGGCTTCCCCCTATGATAGAGATTGGAAACTAATCAATTTCCAGAAAGTGTGCTTAAGTGATATTGTCTGGTAGTCTTTCATTGGAGGCTCCTGTGGAACTTCTTCCCTTGCGGAACAATGTCAGGGAGAGTAATAAGTCTCAAGAGCATCATGGGGTAGAGTACTGAAGATTTAGAAAGTTGGGAGAAGACAAAGAAAAATGCTCAAGCGATGATTAATGTATGCCAAATATTACAATGGAGCGATATTAAGTTTTGCGATCAGCCTTATGGGAATATTTTTGTGAATTTCCATTGTGACTGTTTTTGATAGTCAGGTTGATCTCGTAATGTGAATGAATCCAAAATAAATTTTCTAAAAGGAATTGCACTGATTTAAATTAAAAATCTGTCAGCTGTGAAAGGTAAACAGATGTCATAACATTTATTTATAAAAATTGTTATTTTGAGGAAAAATTCCAAATTTTATCCTGGTGTCCTCCGATCCCCCTAAGAATGTGAATAAAGAAGTTAGGATGCATTTGCAATACCTCTGTGCCATTCTGATCTCCCTGTAGTAAACAAACTGACAGTCCTCTGTTTTCCATAAGGATATGTGGAAGAAACGCTATCGAGTACCTGAAATGGAGTCAGTGTAATGTTTATCTATTTTCCAGGCAGATTTGTTAAGTATGAATGATGCAGCGAAGCCAGTGCCAGATAAAACTAAAGACAGCAAGTGTCTCACCTGGAGCTGTAATCTACTGCAGAATAATGTGGCATTAGGAGTGGAGCAGGTAAGAAACATGATTCAAACCTATGCAGCTTTCACAGCATCAATGAATTTTAAAATATCCTCCAAATCTAAACTATTGAGTTTAAAACTTCTAGCATTGTAGGAATTAGAGAAATAAAGCAAGTCTTATAAATGCTTCATTTCATTTCAATATGATAACCTTGCTTTAGGAGGGTATTTGCATATCTTTAGGAGACAATGCCAAATAAAAATTGAAATGGGTTCTATAATATTGGAAATGCAGTAACAAAATGAGGTACAACGTGGTCCACAACATAAAAATCTTTTGTTGTATGGAATTAATTATGAAACGAGTTATTCAGCCCAGTTGTCACATACCTGTGTTTATGCACAACATTAGCCTCCTCTCACATAATTCATAACAACCTAGCAAACATTTTTCAGCTCCATTGTCCCTGATATACAAATGTCGCCTTCTCTTAACTGTGTCTGAGCCATTCACTTTAGCCACCTCATATAGTAGCGAACTCTGCATTTTCAACATTCTCTGAGTAAAGAGGTTTCCCCCAAATTCCTTACTTTTGATTTATAATAACTACCTTATGTTGATGACTCCTAGTTTCATAAACCATTTCAGACTTGCAGCTTTACTGAAATTTAAACTTTTTTTGCTCATGATAAATCCAATACTTGATGCTCACACAGATCTTTCTCTCTCAAGTACATCCATCCACCCTACTCTTACTTCTATCTCTTTCTTTCACACACTAAAACATTGTCCTTTCCACCGCTCATTCTTTCTGTTTTTCTTTGCCTCAAACTCTGAACCCCTCATGTCTGACACACACTCACCACTCTTAATCTCCCCCAACTTCATATATTGCATCCCTCTCTCTTTTACTGTATTACTCAAAATTGACCCTTTCATAGATAATTAATTCTCTTAAATACACAAATGCTGTTACCAACTTTCCAGTATAGTCATACAATCTTCATGAATTAAAAATTAATCTCTTGGTCAATGCAGGAGAAAAATCATAGGTGCACTAAAAAAAAGATTATTTTTTATTTTCTTTGAAAAATTCTCTCATATATTTTAGAGATAAAAACTTTGAAGATTTGTAAAAGTGCCATTTGCCTGAGTTAGATGGTCAGAGGTGGTAAGTCATGTGATAAAACTTCCAGGCATCTGTCCAGACAGAGTTGGAAATCTGTGCACAAGAGTGCATCAGTGTGTACGCAGTGTGATAATTAAGCTTAACAACCTCACCTAACCAATGTTACACACACGCACTGATCATTCCAATTATAGAATTACAAAGAATATAGCCTTTAATCAAGGTCTCGACTTCAGGGAGAGATCTCCTGACACCGGGGATGAACAGCATATTGGTTTCCCAGGAGCACTAAACCTCCAGATATTTTTCTAATCAACCTAATCAGAGATGTTACTACACACTTCAGTAGCAGGTGATACTTGAACCCAGGCCTCCTAGCTCAAAGCTAAGAACACTACCACTGTGCCACAAGAGTTCTTTAGCCTCATATTCCCAGGCAGTCTCCCATCTGAGTGCTAAGCAGGACTGAGTCTGTTTAGCTGCCAAGATCAGATAGTTTGGGTGTTTTCAGACTAGTGCATCTGCAGGCTAAATCTTCATGCTGGCGATTTTAAAAAAAATAATTCTTAGAATGTAGGTAATTCTGGTGAAATAGATTTATTGCTCATCCAGTTTCATAATCCAGTCAAGCACTAAGACTTACTGCACTGTCAGGGATGTGATGTCTTTCAGACAAAACATTAAATTGAATCTGCCCTGTCAGGTGAACATAAAAGATTCTGTGCCAACACTCAAACAGTGGTGGCATTCTTCCCATTGACTGGACAATGTTGATTCCTGAGGCCAACCTCATTGATAATAAATTATCAGGTCAATTTTTATGTTGTGGACCACGTTGTACCTCATTTTGTTACTGCATTTCCAATATTATAGAACCCATTTCAATTTTTATTTGGCATTGTCTCCTAAAGATATGCAAATACCCTCCTAAAGCAAGGTTATCATATTGAAATGAAATGAAGCATTTATAAGACTTGCTTTATTTCTCTAATTCCTACAATGCTAGAAGTTTTAAACTCAATAGTTTAGATTTGGAGGATATTTTAAAATTCATTGATGCTGTGAAAGCTGCATAGGTTTGAATCAGGAATTTATTTTGCAACAATTAAATCAGAATAATTGAGTGACCTCATGTCATTTACTTAAGATAAAACCCTGCTTAAGATGCTTGGGAGAATGTTAGGTGGATAAGAATCATTTTATTGCTTCAGTTTTTTTTCAAAGAAAGCACATGCACTTTTATATCCAATGTACATTGCTGACCCAGTTGATAATCTGATAATGGATTATATTAAATGAGTTATATTAATTAGGGGTATCTCCTGTATTGTACCTGAGCCAAGTTTTTCAAGTGAAAAACTGGTACAATGGGGAGGCAAGAAACTGTAGCTGTGGTCATTTTACCAATCAGTTAAAAATTGTGTTTTATGTAGTTGAGGCCAAAGTGGGGCACAAGACAAAGTGGAGCAATTAGAGAGCAAATTCAATGGAATGTTTGAAAACTGTTGATAATAAGTGCCTTGTGCTAAATCTTTTTCTCCTGTGATGAAATCTACATCATCTTGCCACAAACAAAAAGTCTGTTGGAACAGCATTCCAACTTCTTTGTGGCTTTGGAGTAGATTCTAAACATGCTTACTAGTAGGTACAAATTTCCGTGAGAGCCCCTTGTGAGATTGTAATCTTTTCACATCTATCATTTTGTTGTTGTTGGCTCAGCTAGCAGCGCTCTAAACAATATAACATAGTTGATTTTATACCTCACTGTAGTGCTTGCAAGTTTGATTAATACTTGGACTGATGCGCAATATTGAATGATTGCCACCTTGCCACCTTGTCTTTGGTGATCTGTGAAACAGGCCGATCCTTCCTGCTCTGCTCATATCACTACTGTTTGTGGGATCTTGCTGTTCACAAATTGGCTATGCATTTGCCTGTTGAAAGACATTTACTATTTTCTAAGTATGTGAAGTGGTTTGGAATATATGGTTATGGTTATGGTTATTTGTATAAATAGATAAAGGATCTAGGTTTCAAAGGTTAAAAACAAACACAAATTGAGCTGATGTTGTGAAAGATATAGCATATAGGATCATAGAATCCCTACAGTGTGGAAACAGGCCATGTGGCCCACAAGTCCACACTGCCCCCTCCGAAGAGCATCCCACCCAGACTCATTCCCCTATCTTTTCCCTGTAACCTGGCATTTCCCATCTCTAATCCAACTAATTTACACACCCCTGGACACTACGGGCAATTTAGCATAGCCAATCCACCTAACTTCACATCTTTGGACTGTGGGAGGAAACCCATGCAGGCACGGGGAGAATGTGCAAACTCCACACAGACAGTCACCTGGGGGTGGAATTGAACCCAGGTCCCTAATGCTGTGAGGCAGCAGTGCTAACCACTGAGCCACCGTGCCACCTAAAACACGACCTGTCAGGAGTGGGATTCAAACCCACGCCTCCAGGGGAGACTGCGACTTGAACGCAGCACCTTAGACCACTCAGCCATCCTGACATATAAGTTCTAGTTCTTTTTTTATTTAAACTGCATGTCTCTATGTCTGACAGGTGTTCGACATCCTCCCACTGTTTGGTCTTCTACATCCAAATGAAAGTCAACAGGTGACCTTTACATTTTACGGCCATGCGAACATTATGAGTGAGGTGAAAGCAATATGTGACGTGGAAGGTGGGCCAGCATATCAGATTGCTCTGAAAGGAGAGGCATCCTTTATCAAATATGCTTTTGACAGAAACGAGATTGACTACGGCCACCAGGTTAGTAATTATTTACTGATAGCTGCTTCATAGATCCTGTGATGTTTGCAGATTACAAGTAGTCTTTCTGTGCTAGCTGTTTACAAGATCAGACCAACACAAAATCCACTATCACTGTCTCTCCCCATATCCTTACACCTGTTTCAGCTTCAAATATTTATCCAGTGTTCCATTACAAGGTACAATATTCTGCGCCTGAAACCTTCCGTATGGTTTCAGCTACTTCAGGCAAGAAGACAAAGTAGCTGTCTTTATTCAAGAACACAACATTTTATAATGAAAACAATATTGTCAGAACAAATTTGAAGTCATTTTTCTTGCCTGAATGGATACTTTTCCAGTTTGGGTTTCTGCTGCCCACTAGCGCTGTACACTGAGATGCTTGAACATCAGTCTAAATTAAAAGGTATGAAAATAGAAACATGCTGTGCTGGACTAGTGTAAGGCTGGCCTGAACCTGGGGACCAGATTCATTTTGATGGAGATATTGTCTGGGGAGGACACATAACAATCCTTCAATAATGAGGGATGGCTTGGCTCTGATCAGGTAAAATGTTGGCTTTTTCTTGGATTACATATTTTCTTTTGATATAAAATCAGCTGTGTTTTGAATCAAACATTCTCTCACTAAACGTTGTTCATATTTAACATAAAATGGTGAGCATACCTAAAAGTAATATTCAGTTACTACAGTACCACGTTTATTGTTGAACAGCTGCACATCTGATACACTTCTGTCTGATTTTGGTGAATGGCTCATGAAAATATGTATATATATCCAAGCCTTTAAGGAGCTTTGAAAATCTTATGAAAAATTGCATGTTGTCTTAGTGGTGCATTGTAATTCCATGACGGAATGTTTATCTGCAATCACCAGCTGCTGCACATTCCATAATAACAATGCACTATGGAGAGATGCTAGGAGAAGGAAACCTGCTTCTCTATGTACTAAGATGGGGAGTCACCTTGAGGCCATTGCAGGATCTCACTTGGATTAGAGACATTCAGCCATTTTGATCGTGCATAATTCTTGTCTTGATGGCTCAAAGAAAGAAAAACGTAAGATTACTTGAAAATAAAGAGTTACCTATCTGAAAACAAAAGAAATCATGGAGCCAGAATGGGTGACTTATTGATACTTCTATACCAGGACAGTGTGTATGAATGTGGAATTGTGTTACCAGACAGTAAAAGAATCTTGGTTCAATTGCCCAAAATCACAGAGTCATCGGAGGTCCAGTGGTAATTTCATTTGACTGGTAAGCTAGAACCCAATAAATCCCATAATGTTAGATGGTGATATTTACAGTAAAAAAAAATGGAACTTTAAAGAACACAGCTAGCCAAATGACAGCCATGTCACCACTATTGATTGTTGATTGTTGTGAAAACCTATCTAGTTCACTAATGTCCTTTTGTGAAGGAAATTTGCCAAAACTATTTGGGCTTGCCTACATGTGACTCCGGACCCAAAGCAACACAGTTGGGAATGGCCAATAAATGCTGCAGTAGCCAGCGATGTCCACATTCCTCAATTAATAATTTTTAAAAATCAACCTTGTACTGGTAGTGCGTTGACAAACAAAAGGTGTCTCCAATGGGGAGATGAAAGGAAATCAGAAATGTATTCTCCTGAGGCACCTGTGGTAAAGTAACTGGATTATAGGAAGGGTTTAGAGGGCTATGGGCTAAATGCTGGCAAATTGGACTAGATCAGATTGGGATGTCTGGTCGGCACAAATGAATTGGACTGAAGGGTCTGTTTCTGTACTGTATGACTCTGAGGTCACTGCACAGGTTCACATCTGCTTGGTTGCATGGAGTACAGTTTATGGAAACCTCGATAGTGAAAATATGAAAGTACAATTCCTTCAGCTCTGCTGGTATTATGATGAATAAGTGTAGTCTGTGGCACTTAGCTGTATAAGCCAGAAGTCCCAGGTTCAATTCCTCGACTTCTCTGAGTTATCGAATCTGAACAATTGAAGTGAAAGCACTGCCAACTGCTTAGTAACCCTGGGCTAAGGAGGGGAGTTAACCAGCATTGCATATGATATTTTTTGTCAATGACCAAGAAATTCAATTGCCCACATTTTTCCTCAGGCAGGGTAGTTACCCTGTACCTGAATAGAAGTTCCATGGAGCTGAAAGGATATGTTGCCTTAAAGGACAATTAGAACTGAGAAGCAATGTTTTAAAATAGTGCATCTTCTATTTAAGTGACGTGTTACATATAAGTGATATGGATAAGAATGTGGGGGATGATAAGTTTGCAGATGACATGAAAGATTGGCGGGTAGTTAATAGTGAGGAAAAGGTCTGAGGTCACAGAAAGCTATAGACAGATTGATCAGATGGGCAGATCAGTGGCAGATGGAATTTAACTGTGAAAAGTGTGCGGTGATGCACTTCAAAGAAGTAACAAGACAAGGGAGTGCACAATGAATGGCAGGACACTGGAAGCTCAGAGGAACAGAAGGATCTTGGGGTGCTTATCCAGAGATCTCTGAAGGCAGCAGAAAAGGTTAATAGGGTAGTTTAGAATGCATATGGGACCTTTGTCTTTATAAGTTGAAGCATGGCTTATAAGAGTAGTGAGGTCATGTTGGAGCTGTACAAAACTTTAGTTCGGCCACAGCTGAAGTACTATGTGCAGCTCTAGTCTCTACACTATAGAAAGGATGTGGTTACCTTGGAGGAGGTGCAGAGGAGATTCACCAGGAGTTTGCCTGGGATGGAGCATTTCAGCTGCAAAGAGAGATTGGACAGGTTTGAGTTGTTTTCTTTAGAGCAGAGAAGGCTGAGAGGAATCTGATAGAGGGTGTAGGCGAAGACAGAAAAGTGGAGTGGAGGCCATAACCAGATCAGTTGTGACCTTTTAAAATGGTGGAACAAGCTCAGGATGACGAAATGGTGTACACCTGCTACTAATTTATATGTTAACGTTTATAAGCCCAAGCTTAAGACTTTATTTGTCCATGTTTCTGTGGGTCAAATCGACACCAATAAGTGCTTTATGATTCCAAATAAAATTGCTGCTACAATCCACAGGTAATTATTGAATTACGTTGGGGTTATCTCAAACCTGGGACTAAATGGAGAACTGACTTGAAGCCAGTCACCAAGGGAAGATCTGAGATGGTGTTCATGCTTGGGGACTTCAAACTTCTCACTGTTATGCTCTACTATCTGTCATTTTGTTGCCCACTTATTATTTCTATATCTCTTTACAGCTACTTTGTGGCTTCCTCAAAGCTTAAATTTCCACTTAGTTTTGTACTGCCAATAGACAAAGGTGCATTACTCTCTGTTTCTTCACCTAATTCACTAATATAGATTGTAAATCACTGAGACACCAATGCTCCACTCGTCAAAGCCTAACAGCTTGAGACTGCTTTATTTATCCCTCAAATAAATGTAAAATACTGCAGATGTTGGTAATCTGAAACAAACACAGCAATGCTGGAGAAACTCAGCAGACCTGGCAGCATCTGTGGAGACAGAAACAGAGCTTAGGCTTCAAGTCTGGTATGACTCTTCTTCAGAACTGATTTGAACATTTATCTCTGCTGTTTCCTGTCCATTAACTAATCCTCTATCCATGCTAATGTATCACCATAACTTCATCGACCTTAAACGTGTGGATTAACTTCTTGTGTGGCACCATATCAAATGTCTTTTGAAATTTGAAATCCACTTAAAATACTGGCACTCCTTTATCTATCTTGCTTGGTCCATCCTCATCGACTGCTAATATATTTTCCAAATATGACAAAGTGATGATGACACTGTCTGATCGTATTATGATTTATGTCTCCTGCTGTTACTTCCTTAATAACAGATTCTATCATTTCCCCAATTAAAGACTTGGCCCAACTGGCATACAGTTTCATGCTTTCTGTCTCACTCCTTCCTTGAATTGAGATGTTACCTTTGAGGCCTTCCCATCCACTGGGCCTTTCCATGGTTTGAGGGTGGGGTGATTTGTTCCTGAAACCTGTCTCCATGCAGGGCTTTTCCTCTGCTCTGCTTAGTGCCTTTCCTGCTCAGTTCATGAACTTACTATCTGCAGAGCTGCATTCAAAAACTTCACCTTGCCCCTTCATGGCATGACGAAGCACTAGCTCATTCAGATAATCCTTTATGGTAAACATTTTAAAAATGGAGATAAATGTCCTTTTGTCTTAATTTGCACATGTAGACTTTTCCTGTCCTTAGAATTGATGGTCACAGAGCTTACCCATACTAAAGGCCAAGTTTAACTTTGAAGGCAGATAAAAAGTCAGATTGTTATCTGTGTCACTAACTGTGGTGTTGGATACAAGCTATGCACAGTGCCAAAGGGAATTAACAGTATGCCAATTTGAAGTGTAAACAGTCACAACATATTTTGAATGAATTTGAAATGCACATTGCTTCCATGGTAATATCTTGACATGTTAACAGCTCATACTAAAGGGCAAGTGAGATACGGCACTATACTTCAGTTACTGAGATTATCAGTTTTCGTAGGCTTGGTGTGTTGGCCCACATTCCATTTGAGAGTGGACTTGTGTATTATGCAGGGCTCAAAAATGTGCTGACAGGAATAATTGGCACCAAATGCTGATTTTACCCATAATCTGTAGCCACTAATATGAGACAGTAGACGTGAAATGGTACAGTCGTTTACCAATGGAGAAAATTGTTCTAACATTCTTTATTCACATCTTCCACATAAGACTGCGGATAAAAACAGATGACCAGTTAAGCTTTTTATAGAAAACAGATTCACATGTGCACCTTCATGAAATGGTTCTTTAGCAAATATAAGTAGATCCATCAAGAAACGATGCCTGCACTTTCCTATTAACTATGCAGCTCTTAAATACCTTTCAACAATTTTATCTTTGATATCTTACTGGGAAACCAAATATTTGAAAAGAAATCTTGCACTTATATAGTTTTTCGTGATCTTACAATATTTAAAAGGCATCTGGATGAGTGTATGAATAAGAAAGATTTAGAGGGATTTGGGCCAAATGCTGTCAAATGGGACTGGATTAATTTAAGATATCTGGTCAGCATTGTTGAGTTGGACCAAAGGGTCTGTTTTCATGCCGTGCAGCTCTATGACTATATGACTCTGGCTGTTTATAAATGCTTTGCATTCAATAGCATATGTCTGCCGTGTTGTCACTGTTGTAGTGTTGAAAATGTCCAACAAACATCATTGAGATAAAAGACCAAAGCAGGTGTTTTAATATTATTGGTGGAAAAATACTTTAAAGCAAGAACTACCCTGACCTTCTCCAGAAACTTGTGCCGCTATCTCAAAGGACATGCAGGGCCTGCTCTGGCAGATTTCCTGTGACATTGCGCACAGTTTTATTTTAAAATTGGGACAAATTACATCTCCAGAGCCCACAACTGTGATTCTTCCATGTGTAAATAAATGTTATTCTTTCTATGAAAAATTCCCGTTATTCATCTAAAATTTGCCCTTAACCTCACTAAGCCTATTGCCGCTTCTCTTACTTTGACGTTATTAATGTCTGTACCTTGCATGTTATCTTTTTTCCTGCTTGAGTTTACTCCAAGTGGCACTAAGAACTTGGAAATGAATCTATAAAGTAGATAGGTAGACAAACAGGAGGCTGGAAGAACACAGCAAGCCAAGCAGCATCTGGAGGAAAGGAGCAGTCAATGTTTCGGGTATTACCCTTCTTCAAGGGTAATATCTGAAACATTGACTGCTCCTTTCCTCTAGATGCTGTCAGGCCTGCTGTGTTCTTCCAGCCTCCTGTTTGTCTACCTTGGATTCCAGCATCTGCAGTTTTTTTGTCTCTATAAAGTAGGTAGTCTGACATTTTGTAATGATCTCAAGTTGTGGGCACTTTACCCAAGTAGGTGAGAAAAATTGTACTGCTGATTGGACTATACTTCAAGGCTGTGAGATAGTCTATTCATCTGAAATAAGAAGCTTAACCTCTGTTTTCTTTTCCTCTTCTAGCTATTTAGTCTTGTTGCTGTGGCTGAACTTACCCTGAAGAATACTGGAAAGGTGGGATTTGACTTTACTGTTTTGAATCTTGAGCAGGCTGCTGATCAAGAGCCTGTGCCAGGAGTACCGCTTGTTATTCCCTACTCGGTTAGTGAATTCTCTTATGATTGTTGATTAAGAAGATGAGGGATGTATGAGATATGTGCAAAATGAACCTTGTTCTTGCAGGAGATTTATTGCTGAAGATGCTGTCACTGCTCCTTAATTTGTGTGTTACCTCTGATAAAGGATTTATCACATGGTGATCATGTCTGTAGGTGGCTGCCATGTTGAATACAATAAATAGCCAGTTATCTATTTACATTATGTATAAATTATTCACCAATAAATAGATCATTGGCAACTTTGGGGAAGGCAAAGATAAAATGCTGCAGACATTAAGTAACTAGAACAAAAATAGCAGTTTCAGGTAACACTCAGTAGGTTTTGCTGATATCTGTGGAGAGAGACACAGACTGGATTTAATGCTAGCAATGGAGTTCTCAGATTTTTCAAGTTACCTGGGAGTAATGGGGCCTGCAGCTCACCATTAGTCTCTCCATTGAAACACCTCAGCCAATCAAAATCAACTTGCCAACTAATTAGCTGCCCCTGCCCACCTTTTCCCCGACAGTATAAATTGTTGTCATCATTTGAAATTTGGCATTTTTGCATTGTCTTGATAATTGCAAGATGAAAATCTTCAGGAACACGAAATATTCATGCTGCACTCCCAAGTCACAATTTTTAACATGTTCTCTGACATTTCAACTTCACTGTAATTACCCAATTTTCCTAACTGCCTGATGTTGCTGGCTCTATAATGATACAGCACCATTTATTTTCACTAACGTAAGAGTGTTTTACTCCTGTATAATTATCTGTTATTTTAGGGTTACATTGCAGCAAATTCGGAGCAGAAGCTGAAGGTTTCTTATTTACCTGGAGTACCAGACATCTTTCATAAGAGCTTTGAGATTCAAGTCTCTCACTTTGAACCCGAGAGTATTAGCCTGAAGGGGGAAGGAATCTTTCCCAGAATCTATCTGGATCTACCCAGAAACATAAAAGGTATGGCCTTAACTTTCAGCTAGTTCTTTGAATTAAAAGTAAGTGCAATGCTGGTACAAATTAACAGCAAACAGCTACAACAGTTTAACAGTACATAGGTGTTTCTCTATTTAGTGTAATCATTTGTAATCTATAACCTACCTCCGCATAGACACGTTGCCCCAAATCCCTTCATAATTCTTTTTCATATAAATCTAACAAGGTCAATGATAAAATTAACATTCAATCTACGATGAATTACCATTGGTGGAAGATAGCTCCCAACCTCTACCAGTCTGTTCCTTATTTTCACTCCTAAAAAGTCTGAGTCTGGTTATTAGATCTAGTTCAGGTTTCATAAGAACTGGAAATAGTTTCTCTCTGCTCAATTTGTTTGCCTTAAAACTTGAAAACTTCAATCAAATCACTCTTCAATCTACTAGCTTTCAGGGAATGTAATTCTAGGTTACGTAATCGATTCTCATAATTTAGTTCATGATATAATTCTTGTAAATTTATGCTGCATTCCCTCCAAGACCACTGTATCCTTTCTTGGTGCCCAGAACTGGTCATAGTACTGCAGATGTGGTTCAAACAGGGCTTGTATAGTTGCAGCAAAATTTCAAGCTACCTATATTCTTGCTTGTTAGGTATAAGACCAGCAGTTCTTTTTCATTAGTCTCAGCATTGTTCATGACATTTTAACGTGTGCCTTGTCACAGATGTCTCTTTGGACTTCTACTATTTCTTACTTACCATTTGGAAGGACTCCTGTTCAAACCTATTTGGGTCCAAAGTGGATGAGCTCTTAATTCCCAGCACTGAAATCCATTTGCCCCAGTTTTAGTCATTTCCTGAATGAAGCAGTATGTTTTTGCAATATTACGCTATTATCTACAATAGTACAAAGACACCTATCTGAATTTGTGCCTGCAATTCAATTCACTTGTTTATTTTCTATGTGTGATTATGTAATGATTATTTTTTCTGGACTCTTTTCAATCAATACGTTTGGAGATTGTTGAACAGTAGTGATATCTAAACAAAACCTTGCAGAACTGCACTCATGCAGATTTCCTCCCTATAAATGGTAAACTTTTGCCATGAGTCTTCAGGCAGTTGGTTGTTTACATCTGTCTGGCAATACCATGTGAAACAATCATGACTGATAATTGTCTGTACAATAGACTGTTATGCCTCAGAATCAAATATGAGATGGAATAATTAGTGTAAATGCCGGAATGCCCACCGGCACGTGTGTAGACAGGGCCTGTGATATCACTTTGCTGTGACATGGCCTTCATCATCAGGCAGCATTTCTGGATATGTGGATACTGTGGACAGTCTGATAAACTGTCTGTTTGCTGTGATGGGTTTTCCTTCTGTTAAAAAGACAGCTTCCCACAGCTAACAACGCAGACAATCTATTACAATCTGCCGAAGGTTTTAAAAAACACAGAACGGCAAACACCCAGTAATCAGTCAGGAGTTCGCTAACCTGTGAGCAGCCTGCTGTGTGAGGCCGGCCCTTTCCAGTCATTATTTACAGCAACTGGGACACAGCAGAGCATCTCAGTAAAAGCAGGGAGCTGTTTCTATGCACAACTTTGTAAGTTCTAAAGTTCATATTGAAATGTTTTAATGATCATTGCGGCAGGAAGTAAAATGTCAGTTGACTTCAGTGAGCTAGATGCTCAAGAGTTGACTCCACCCTGAAGTAACATTTTATGGGCAATGCAATCTTTGTTTCAGGCGATCAACTGCTAAGCTGTATATATGTGCCATTGCTGTACCAACTAGTCTTGGAATTCAAAGTAAATGCAATCAATATGGGAGTACCAGTTTAATATATATATCCCATAAAAGATTCTATGCAGTGAGAAAGATTAATCAACAGTCGTGTTGTGCAGAGTCTCTCGAGGAAGCACAATCATAATATAGAATTCGTCGTTCAGATAGAGTGTGAAACTGCTGAATCAAAAACTAGCGTCCTAAATCTAAATAAATAGAACTATTAAGGGTATGAGGCGTGAATTGACAAGGATGGTTGGAGGAATCTTACTAAAGGGATTGACAATGCATATGCGATGGTGCATACTAAAAGAATATGTGACTGAATTACAATTATTCATTTCTGTCTGGCAAAAAAAGGAGAAAGCTGGCCCAACCATGGCTTACAAAAGAAATTAGGAATAGTATTATATCAAAAGAGGAGACATATAAAATTGCCAGAAAAAGCAGCAGACCTGAGGACTGGGAATTGAGCAAAATAGGTCAAAACATTTGATCAGGAGGGAGAAAATGGAGTATGAGAATAATATTGCAGGGAACATAAAAACTGACAGTAAAAGCTTCTCCAGATACGTGAAGAGAAAAAGACTGGTAAAGACAAATGCAGATCCTTTGCAGTCAGAAGCTGCCTAAATTATAATGGGGAACAAAGAAATGGCAGAAAAATTGAACATGTGCTTTGTTCTGGCTTCACAAAAGAGGGCACAGATAAACTCCCAGAAATGTGAGGGAACTAATGGTCTACTGAGAGGGATGAATTGAAGGAAATAAAATACTGTTGGGAAAATTAACAGGGTTAAAGGCTGTAAATCTCCAGGGCTCGATCATCTACATCCCAGAGTCTGAAAGGAAGTGACCCTAGAAATATTGGATGCATTAGTCGTCGTCTTCCAAAATTGTCTTGACTACGGAGCAGTTTCTACAGATTGGAGGGTGACAAATATAAGCCAACTATTTACAAAAGCAAAAGAAACAGAGAATTGCAGATCAGTTGGCCTAACATCAATAATGGAGAATACGCTAGAGTCTATTTTAAAGATTTGGAAAATGTTAGTAGTTTAGGACAAAGTCCAACCCATGTTTTTTTGAGGATGTAACTGGTCGAATACATAAGGGAGAACCAGTAGGTATAGTTGGATTAGAGGGCTTTTGATAAAGTCCCTCATGAGAGGTTAGTGGCAAAAAGTAAAACACATGGCATGGATTAAGAACTGATTTGCAGACAGGAAAAAGAGTGGAAGTAAATGGATCTTCTTCCCAGTGGCAAGCAATGATTAATGGGGTAATGCAAGTATCAGTGCTTGGGCTGCAGCTATTCACAATAAACAGAAATGACCTGGGTGAGGGAAATAAATGCAACATTTTCAAGTTCTCTGATGACATAAACCTGGGTGGGATTGTGAATTATGAGGAGGTTCCAAGGAGGCTTCAAGGTGATTTAGTCAAGTTGACTGAGTGGACAAACAATGGCAGCACAATGTGACCGATTATGAAGTTATACACTTCGGTGTAAAAACAGACAGGAATAATGTTATTGAAATAGTGTTTGGTAAATGTGGGTGTGCCAAAGGGATCTGGGTGTCCTTGTACACCAGTCAATGAAAGTAGACAGGCAGTTGCAGCAAGCAATTAGGAAGGCAAATAGAATATTGGCCTTCATTGCAAGATTATTTGAGTTCAGAAGTAGACATGTCGTATTGCAGATATATAGGGCTGTGATGAGACCACACTTGCAATATTGCATGTAGTTTTGGTCTCCCTACCTAAGAAAGGATTTACTTGCCATAGAGAGATTGCAGCAGAGGTCTACTAGGTTGAAACTGGGAATAACATAACTGTAGAATGAAGAGTGATTCGCTCGAGTGGGCCTATATTTACTAGAATTTAGAAGTATCTGATTGAAATGTATAAACCTGTAACAGGACTGGACAGACTAGGTGCAGTGATGATGTTTTCCCTGTTTGGAGAGCCTAGAACCAGGGGGTCACAGTATCAGGAGACAGGGCAGACAATTTAGGACTGAGACGAGGAAAAAATTCTTCACTCAAAGGATAATAAGCCTGGGGAGTTCTCTACCATAGGAGGCTGGGTAGAGGTGAAGTCACTAAATATATTCAAGATAAAGACTGATACAGTTTTAGACTTTAAATGCATCAAGGGGTAGGGGGAGAAAGCTGAAATATGGCATTGTGGCAGGGGATCAGCTATAGATATATTGAATGGTGGACTAGGCTCAAAAGTCTAAATGTCCTACTTCTGCTCTCAGTTTCAATATTTTTATTCTTTTTCAATTTGATTTTGTTCCTAATGTCTACACAGGCAGTAGCCCAATTTTGGTAAAGCTTAACGTGCCATATAAGATCCAATTAGAAGTGCTAAAAGCCTTGCCTGAGCATGGGCTAAATAATTCCCATACATATAAAGGGTCCATTGCCAATGTGCACTTAACATTACCAATAGCTTCAATGTGTCAGGATGATGTTCTATATGTGTCATGTAACAAAACTGTACACTAACTCTGCAGAATGTCACTTCTTTTGTGATTTTTTTTTCCCTGAGTAATTAAGTTTCAGAGTAGCGGAGCAAAGTTTCTGAACTTTCCAGTGTTGGAAAGAATTGGACAGTATTTTAAGTTTGATTAGAACTTTATTACCAACAGGAAATGAGAAGTATGAGGCACTGCTGAAGGAGGCAAGAGAAGCACTAGAGAGAGAAACAACTGAAGGAAATCTGCTCAGCCGTCCTGAAACCATAGCAGGAGAACTAGGTGCAGCCAATACCCTCTCTTCTGTAAGTCGCTCTTATTCTTAATTATATGATTGCAGAAAGCTTTTTTATTAGTATAGAAATGTTTTACATCAAGATAATTGGGAATGGAAGGCAAATGGATAACTTAAGTTACTTCACCCTTTTCCCTTTCAGTTTTTCCTTTCTTCATTAGACTGCAATTGCTTAACCCTCAGTATGGCTTGCCCAAATGATTGTGCATCCCTCACTGAAATGCAGTTGGCTATGGATATTGCAACACAACACTTAAGTTACTTACACCCAGTCGCGAACCACTTCAACTCCCCCTCCCACTCCCTGGACGACATGTCCATCCAGGGCCTCCTCCAGTGTCACAACGATGCCACCCAGAAACTGGAGGAACAGCACCTCATATTCCGCCGTGGAAGCCTACAACCCAATGGTCTCAATGTGGAATTTACTAGCTTCAAAATCTCCCCACCCCCGACCTCATCCCAAGACCAGCACCTCCACCTCATCCCCGCCTCACTGACCTGTCCATCTTCTCTCCCACCTATCCGCTCCTCCCACCTCACTGACCAATCCCACCACTACCTACCTACACTCACCTTTACTAGCTTCAACCCCGCCTCCTTGACCTGACTGACTTCTCTCTCACTTATTCGGTCCTCCCACCTCACTGACCAATCCCCACCATTACCTATCTGCTATCACCGCCCCCCCCTCTCTATTTATTTCAGAGCCCCCTTCCCCTCCCCCATTTCTGAAGAAGGGGCCCAACTCGAAATGTCAGCTTTCCTGCTCCACTGATGCTGCCTGGCCTGCTGTATTCCTCCAGCTCCACACTGTGTTACTTAAGTTACTTCACCCTTTTCCCTTTCAGTTTTTCCTTTCTTCATTAGACTGCAATTGCTTAACCCTCAGTATGGCTTGCCCAAATGATTGTGCATCCCTCGTTGAAATGCAGTTGGCTATGGATATTGATTTACAAATGCTTTTATTTTGAAGGTTTTGTGTACTTATTGATGGATTTTCTGTACTTCTGACCATCACAGTATGACACCCTGCTGCAGATGGAGGCTGATCGCTTACTAATTAAGGAGTGTAGTCTGGCACAAGACTTAGTTCTTTCTTCTCACAACCCTTCATCTGGGTCAAAACACCATGCACACAAAAGTGTATCCAGGTAGGATTACTGTAATTACTATATTTGGAACTTCTACTCCATTAACTAACATTCATGCTCACCACTGATTTTCCCTATCTCACAGGTCAACACACTATTTTGAAGAATTTTCCCTCCAAGAGCAAAAAAGCATTTACTTTTGGATGGGATATTCAACTTCGTCTCAATTGGACACAAAATGTCTAATGGTACTATGTCGATCAGGGACAAAGGTTATATCTGCGGTCCTGGTCAATACTTTTCCATCAAACAATATACAAAATCATATAATCTGATCATGACAATATCGCTGTTAGTGGAACTTTGCTGTACACCAAGTTGCTGTTCATGTTTCCTGTGATACCATGGGAGCAACACTGGAAATGCAGTTTACTGACTGCAAAATATTTTTTGTTATGTTGTGTCATGCAAAATACTGTATAAAGTATCATGACAAGGTGAGAAGGGGTGAATTAGCTCCCTTCTTTCAAACCTTCTTGGTCAGTTGCAACAGTTGTTTAAATTATTATTAGCATGAGACTATACCTTTGTCCAATTAAAACTAAGACCATAAGAAATAGGAACAGGACTAGGACATTCAGCCCCTTGAGCCTGCTCTGCTATTAGGAGCCAATCACAAGGTATGTGTCAATGTGTTTAGAAAAGAACAAGTTTATTATTATTCCTACATCTTATGATCTTCTAGAAAAAAGTGGAGTTGAAGATTAACAGATAAACCATGATCTCATTGAGTGGCAGAGTAGACTTAATTGGCCAATTGGTCTGTTTTTGCTCCTTGTGTCTTATGGCCTTATTACTGAAGGAATGTAATAAAGACACAACATAAAGCATGTGGCCATCGTGCAGTCACTGCATACACTGACAATCTCTCATATATACTCACAAACATACACATACAGATACAAACAGGTACATTAAGAAGGGAATAATATCCAAAGAAAAAGAAAGATAGAAGAATATACAGTTTCAATCACTTTGGTGCCTTGAGACATGAGGTTTTAACATGAGACTGCAGTTAGTTAATTGGTTTCTTGAATCTTGATTCAAAAAACAATAGTGTGAATTTTATACAATTATGCAAAAAAACTAGTATTTATTTCCTATCTTTGCTGCTGTAGAAGACTTCTTCCTAGACATTAGGAACATAAGGAAGGGACAAAAACTAGGGACCCCATTTCTCTGCTCCAGCGATGTCCAAAAGGAGTGGTTAAAGTATTTATCAATTGCCTATACTGGCCAGTGAATTCCTTATTATTTTCCATTTATGGAAGAAAGACAAAGCTTGCCACTGTGTGATGGAAGTGCTGCTGGTGTTGTAAGAGTGGGCTTAGGTGAATACCAGGCACCAGTGAGAAAGGCAAGCAAGGTAAAAGCAAAGGAGATAGCAGGAACTGCAGATGCTGGAGTCAAAGTCAATACAGTGTGTAGCTGGAGGAACACAGCAGGTCAGGCAGCATCAGAGGAGCAGGAAAGTCGACGTTTTGGGTTTACACCCTTCATCAGCGTCCTGACCTGAAACATCAACTTTCCTGTTCCTCTGATGCTGCCTGACCTGCTGTGTTCTTCCAGCTCCACACTGTATTGACTCTGAAGCTAAAGGCAAGGTAAGATTCTTTTGTCTTTCTCACTGTAAAGGGGCAGAGGTGGCAATTAGGGCAGCGGTGTGCTCCCCCTGCCAGATGTGGGAAGTCATGGAGCTGTCCAGTGTCCCTGTCAGGACATGTGACCAGCTGCAGCTCCTCACAGACCACGTCATTTGGTTGGAGTGACAGTTGGACGCATTGAAGAGCATACAGGGGGCAGATAGTGTGATAGGAACTATTTACGGGGAGGTGGTCACACTGCAGGTTCAGTCAGGTAGATGGGTGACTGTCAGGAGAGGCAGGCAGGTAGTGCAGGAGTTTCCTGTGGCTATTCCTCACTCGAACAGGTATACCGTTTTGTAAACTGTTGTGGGGAATAACTTCTCAGGGGAATATAACAGCAGCCACTTTCAAGTCCCCCTTTAAGCCGCACGCCATCCAGACTTGGGAATATATTGCTGCCAATCCTTCAGTGTCACTGAGTCAAAGTTCTGAAATGCTCTCCTTCACAGCATTGTGAATCTACCTACAGCAAATGGACCATGGCAGCTTATGAAGGTAGCTTACCACCACCTTCTTAAGGGCAACTAGGAATTGGCAATAAATACAAGCCCAGTTAGTAACACCCACATCCCATTCATGAATTCTTAAAAATCTACCAGCCTGCCATAATCTCACACTAGCCACAATTAGTGAAATTAGTCAGACATCAGAGACACAATGTAAACTGCAGCAAACTATTCAAGAAACTTTTGCAGAACTGAATATGAAAAAAAATGAAACTACTTTTTTTTCAAAATTAGTGGAGATAAAATATCAGCTCTCTTTTGTGGAGAAAAAAATAATAAAGTTCAAGTAGAAAAGTATGAGCAACCAATTCAGGATAAATCCAGCTGAAAGAGAAAGACAGGAAACAGGATCATCTACAAACTGCACATCAACAATTCAGTGAAAAGATTGCTGATTTCCAGGAAGATTGGAGCAACTGACATGTAAGACAGAACAGACTCAACAGGAGCAGTTACAGAAGCATTGTATTGACTCAAAAACAATGCTTTAGAACATAAAAGATAAAAATAGATAGAGATTTAAAGTGCGCAAACAAGGAGCTGCAAATCATACATGAGGCAATCCCTGCAGAAATAAATGTCATCAGTGATGCTCAAGTGGAAGAACTCAATCAGGACACAGAATAAACAAAATATTTACTGAAACTGCAAATGGAAACATTCAGGCTTCAAAGAAAGCAAAAAAGAAATTAAAATATGCTGAAGAGACTGGATAGCTATTTGAGCAGATTATGAAGGAGGATATTATATTGAACAAACAGAAGGCTGAAACTTTAATAAAATTAGTCGAATCCAGGTTACAATATCAAAAGCTTCAAAATGAACTGGAAGCCCTTATGGAACAAAACTTACTTCTGACTAACCGGTCTGTCATGACCTGGCCTACCCCGGTTGCCCTTCTTGAATAATGTAACCACATTAGCTGTCCTCCAGTCATATGGCACTTTACCTATGCCCAGCGAAGTATTAAATATATCCGCTGGGGCCCCAGCAATCTCCTTCCTTACCTCCCCGGGCAGGCTGGGATACATCTCATCATGTCCTGGATCTTTATGTACGTTTATTCCTGTTAAAAAATCAAATACCTCCTCTTTATTAATCTTAGTATGTTCTAGAAGCTCCCATCCCACCTGAAAATCCCCAGTTTCACTGTATTTCTCTTTTGTGACTACAGGTAGGGATTTATTTAAGACCTCATTCACATCCAATGGCTCCGCACACAGTTTGCCCCTTTGGTCTCCAATAGGTCCCACTCTTTCTCTGGTAATCCTCTTATTCTTAATATACTTATAAAAAGTCTTAGGGTTTTCTATGATCCTATCTGCCAAAGATATTTCATGGCCCCTGTTTGCCCTCCTAATTTTTTTTAAGCAAGCTCTTACACTCTCTGCACTAATGAAGGGCCTCCCTTGTTTTTAATGCCCTGTACCTGACATATGCTTCCTTTTTTTTTCATTTTTAAACTCTCGATATTCCTTGTCATCCAGGGTTCCTAGACTTGCTGCTCTTGCCGTTTGTTCTTAGAGGAACACGCTGGCCCTGAGTTCTCACTATACTACTTTTAAAAGATTCCTACTTTTCAAATGCAGACTTATCTGCAAGTAGCTCCTCCCAGTCTATGTTTGCCAGATCCTGTCTAATGATATTGAAATTGGTCTTCACCCAAGTTAGATACTTTTGCACTATTCATATCCCTTTCCATGATGACTTTGAAACTTAGAGTTATGGTCACTATTACCAAAATGCTCACCCATTTGACTGGCTTCATTCCCTAAGATTAGATCTAGCCCCATCTCGAATAGGACTATCTGTATACTAGCACAAGAATTCTCCTGGAGACATCCAGAGACGTCTCAGAACAGCTGCAGGGCATTCTGAAGAGAGTGAGTAAACAGCTAGCAGTCATTGTACATGTCAGTATCAACAACAAGGGTGACAAAATAAATGACGTCCTGCAATGGGAATTTAGAGAGTTAGATAGTAGATTAAAGAGGAGGACTATTAAGGTTGTAATCTCTGTGTTGCTTCCGGTGCCACGTTGCTACTGTATGTGGGAATAGAAAAATAGGTCAGTTGAATGCATAGCTAAAGGGATGGTGTGGAGTTGGAGGCTTTAGATTTTTGGATCATTAGGACAGCTTCTAGGGTGGGTGGGACCTCTACAAGCTGGACGGTTGCACTTGAAATAGATTGAACCTAATATGCTGTCTGGAACTTTGCTTGTGCTGTTGTGGGGTGTTAAACTAATTTGGCAGGGGGTGGGGCACAGAGTAGGTGTAAAGTTGAGAGCAAGGTCCAATCAGATCACGAAGGACTGCTAGGACAGTCCAGTAGGTGGAGATGGCATAGTCAGGATAAGGCACATCGGAGGTATATAATACTGTGACTGTCCCTGTCAATTAATCTGCTATGTATTGGTGATTTGCTGTAATATCTGTTTCAGAACGTATCTACTTTAAATAAACTAACCAACAGAGTTAATTAATCCCTGATGAGTTAATGGTTATTAAACCATTATCATTATACCTATTTTTACCCCTCAGCCAACACCTAAAAATGATGATCTAGTCATTTATATAAATGTTATCAGTGGGACATTACTACAAACGAATTTGCAGCAGTATTTCTGCCGTGACAACAGTGACTGCAGTTCAAATGTGCTTAATTGATTGCAAAGTGCTTTGATCATCCTGAGGTTGTGAAAATATGTATCAAACCAAGTTTGCTATTTTCTTTCATATGTATCTGTACTGCTTGGCTAATGCACTTTAGAGAAATGACAATTGTTTAAGCTGATGCAGCATTCTCGTCTACCTGTTGATATGAAATATGTGACCACAGGAGCTAA